TTGATTGCGGTGGTGCATTTCATCACATGTAGCAATACTGATCCAAACAGCGGTAGCATCCGAAGCCTGATATGACTCTTCCCATCACACACATTTCCTTTTGTGACAGATGTGGTATTTCAATATTTAGTGTAAGAGACAAAGTAAGGAATTCTGTACAGAACAAATATTAAATCGGTTTCCTGATCTCTATAATGAGCCTTTTACTTTTGTCTGGGCCATTTCAGAAGAACTGAAGGTCCATGTAGTTAACTAACCTTTCCCAAAAATATAATTTAGATTCTGTTAAGCCCTAGTACAATGATTACCTGTCATTGCATCGTCTGAATAATACAGGAGATAAGGGGAAAACAGGACTGTGCTGCTGGGCTGAGTAGGAAGATATCGCTTTAAAAACATTGGATTTCTTTGCCCCCAAAGGCTGGTAAATTGACCTCAATAATCTATCCCACCTCAAAGAAAGCAAGAGGCAGCCTCCAAGCAATATATTCTGAACTAGCCAAACAATTAAATGCATCAAATGCAGCCCCTGGGTGCTAATGCACCCCAAATATTTGATAAATGATAGAGCAGAAGGATAGGACAGCACGTATTCTCGAACTGTTTTCAACAGCAGCGATCAAATTCCTTCAGCAGAGAATAATTTGAGAAATATATCACAGTCACGGGGTTTCATAGTTCAGCTATCTAATTTTAATATATTGATAACTTTATGTAATTTATATTAAATATGATCAGTACAGGACTACAAATGCTGAAAACCATATACTGTAATGTTCTTTGGTATAATTTGTCAGAAGAGAGGATATTTAATTGAATGAGGTATAAAGTACAATAAAAGATACAAGTCTCAGAGCTGTTAACTAACAGCAGATTAACACCTAACCAAAGGAATCACGTTCAGTGTGAACTGGCCCTTAACAATGACTAAGTCATTGATTCTCTGAAACAGATACATAATTTATTTAAATAAATAGATTTTAGAGCATATACACACACATACACACACTCTGTTTTTGTTTGTTTTCCTTGTGTCTGAGCCTTTATGAAACAGGAATGTCAACATTATAAAGTGATGTTACACTTAAATAAATGGATTACTTTTTCGTTTAATGAAAGTTGATTTCTTCTAATCTACAGCACAGTAATGGATCAGAATGCACAATAACAAATGTATAATTTACATTAAAAATGTATATAGAAGTCTAAATTGGGTCTACCACTCCAAAGAGAGGTGGGATAAAGAGTTATATATAAATATTAAAGATGTGTACAAAATATGTTAGGGCAATCTGTGCTTAAATATGGCATATATTAGAAAAATTGTTTTTGTATGCACACGCCCACAAACCTGGACATATTGCTATGATTATCAGCCTAAAGGATTCTACTGCAGGATAACAACCTCTTCATTGAAGGTTATAGACCAGAATTTACCATACTGGTCCAATATGGATTGATAGATAGATGTTCTTCTCAGTTTAGGCTGGGAGAGAATGTTTTTGACCCAAAGTGATGTAGGTCATTTCTGTGCTTAAGGGAAGAATAAAATCTGGGTCTCCCTGTTCCTAGTCCAGCATCTTAACTACTATATCA